TAGCTGCAAATTAACCGAGGAAGACTAATTTGGTCTTCCTTATTTCGGTCAGTATTACCTGCTCAGCTAATACCAAGTTAGTAAGGGCTCCTGGATATGGAACTCGTAAGGTGAACCGATCTGTAATTTGTCTACATGCGTCGGGATTCTCCATGCTTTATTAGACAGCAGAATTATGTACGTTTGTAGAAATTTTACGGTTATTCTGGTGGGTCTTGTGTGGTTGGGATAGGTTCTTGAGAATGTATGAAAGTTCCTATTTGGAAATTCGGATTTGGTTTATGCTTTAAGCAGACCGTCCTACGCCAGTTGGAAATTCCGCATTCAGCTGCAACGTGCCGATGTCATTGAATACTCTCCTGTCCAGCGTGTGTTGTGCGGATCTTCTGTAAATGTGATATTTGGATATTCTTCCTCTGTTTCGATTCAATGGTTTGTATTCATCTACTTTTTCCGTCCTGCTCAAACTCTATCTTCTCAGTGTTATCGGTGATATAAAAGACTCTTTAGGACTCCTGATCCCAAAGTATCCTTGTTCTGTGTTCCGAACTTGTTGGAGTGTTGATATTATCCTAAAAATATCGCTGATTTCCGTGTGGATTATCTGACAAATTCTTGATGAATGTGGTGATTAAATATTCCCTTGTTGTTCTGCCTGATCACTGGACTGAACGTGAGGAACTGCTGAGGAATCTGTGATGACATACTTTTGTACTCGACAATCGGGGTCAGCCCTAAATTCAGTAAAATGCAATTGCAGTATGATTTCCACTGTTCATCATTGAAAGCATCGTTTGAAGCTAGGGTCATTATTAACTCTGGGCTGGTGTGATTTACTCAGACAGCAGAAGTTTCGTGATGGTTTGATGAGCTGCACCAATGTGGCGGTCAATCAATGCGACTGTTAGTTCGTTGTCTGACTACCTCGATACCAGGTATTTATTGAGCAGTCGTAACCATGCATTGAAGGGCACACCTATCTACGTTTAGGCTAAATGACTCGCCAAGAATTTAAAGAAACTGATGGTCGGCTCAGAACACATCTTTTTCATCCTACGCCGGGACGCGAAAGACAAATTTATAGGGGAACTGAACTCGGTTTTCCCACAAATTCCTGCAGCCTAGGGGTGGGCTTCTACTTGCAACCCCTTCAAGCGTCATTTACCGCGTCAAATGTCTAGCCTGTCTGGCCAATTACTGAGGCATGACCGAGAAAGGATTGCGAACGCGCATGCGTAAGCTTGCTGTATCCGCAACGCAAAAATATGTACGATCATACGTCGCCATGCACAGTCTAGAAATAATCACATGTTCGACTTTGACGGCGCCCAAATGCTCGGCCGAGTCGAAAGCAAACTGACAAGATAAGTAATTGAAGCCTGGCAATCAGACGCCAATTCGATCAGCCGCAGTATTGACCTACCAGCGTCGTACAAGGCCGTCAGGCACCACCTGCGCACGAGAGGAGAGACAATAAGAAGAGAACGGGATCGGTCCATCAGGTGCGAGTACGAACTACCTATTTAAACCATGTATTTCTCATTTTGCCTATCTCCGATTATGTTCTCGAGTAAGAGTACGAAAAGTAAGATGATTAAGTATTCCTCCCCAGAGATCGCCTTAGCCTCTTCCTCTTCCATCTCAACACCCGGGGTTAGCATTTTAGCATATATCCATACGTATTTATGGTAGATGGGAGCTCACCGATCAAGTTACAGAACATGCTCTTTCGGTTGTGCCTTGGGGCTCGTGATAGAACCCTTGCAGGCAGTCGCACAGCGACTAGAAGTAGAAATAAATGAGACGATACCGAAAAAGGCAAGGGAGACCGGAATGGCCATTTGTTGCTTACTTGCCGTCATCAGCCAGTCACACTCAATCCCAAGTGTGAACCACCTGGGATTCGAACCCGGGATTTTTGGTCACTGAGTTGAACGATCTACCAATAAGCTACGGGCTCCTTGTCCTGTTGATTGTGATCGGGAATATTAATTATGGTAGATGGGCGCTCACCAGTCAGGCTCATTAATAGAGCGTTCGATTCAATGACCAAAGATGCCAGGTTCCAATCCCAGGTGGTTCACACTTGGGACTGGAAATGACTGGCTGACGACGGCTAATAGGCCAGAAATGACCATTCCGATCTCCCTTGTCATTGTCGGCATCATCTCATATATGCATATATATAATGGTGGAGGGGCGATCACAGATCGTTCTTGCGGAACTCACTAATCCCGTTGTGCCTTGTGACTCTTTCTTTTGAGCCCGGCCAGCAGCCTCATAGCGGTGCGCGGTATAGAAGCACGGAGGTCCCCAACTGATGGATCACCTGACTGCGCTCTTCCAAGAGATGTGGCGTCAAGGTGAAGTCCCGCAAGATTTCGAAGACGCAACCATCGTGCATCTCTACAAGCGAAAAGGGAACAGCCAAGTCTGCGACAATCACCGCGGCGTCTCCCTGCTGAACATCGCCGGGAAGATCTTCGCTCGCATCCTCCTCAATCGTCTGAATAATCATCTGGAACAGGGCCTTCTGCCAGTAATTCAATGCGGTTTCCGTCGCCATCGTGGGACCACGGATATGATCTTCGCCGCCCGTCAACTTCAGGAGAAGTGCCAGGAGATGCGGACCCACCTGTACTCTACCTTCGTGGACCTGACGAAAGCCTTCGACACGGTGAATCGTGAAGAACTGTGGAAGATCATACAGAAATTCGGCTGTCCGGAGCGATTCACTCAGATGGTGCGTCAGCTGCACGACGGTATGATGGCGCGAGTCACGGACAAAGGAGCTGTCTCAGAGGCATTCGCCGTGACCAACGGAGTGAAGCAGAGATGCGTGCTAGCGCCTACCCTCTTCAGTCTTATGTTCTCTGCCATGCTGATGGACGCCTATCGTGATGAGCACCTCGGGATCTGAATCGCCTACAGGACGGACGGTCACATTCTGTATCAACGACGGATGCACTTCCAATCTCGCGTATCCACAACCACCGTTCACGAACTTCTCTTCACCGACGACTGCGCCCTGAACACTACCTCGGAAGAGGAGATGCAACGGAGCATGGACCTATTCTCCGCCGCCTGCGAGAACTTTGGGCTGGTCATTAATACACAGAAGACGGTGGTGATGCATCAACCGCCACCCAACACCGCCACTCCCCCCAACGCGCCGCAAATCAGCGTGAATGGGATCTAACTACAAGTGGTGGAGAACTTTCCGTACCTGGGCAGTACCCTCTCCCGCAACACCATGATCGATGACGAAGTCGTCAACAGGATCCTGAAAGCCAGTCAAGCCTCCGGTCGCCTCCAAAGCACAGTTTGGACAAATGAACAAGAAGCTGAAGATGTACAAGGTCGTCATCCTCCCGACGCTGCTAGACGGAGCGGAGACTTGGACGGTGTACACAAAGCAGGCACGGCGACTGAACCACTTCCACCTCAGTTGTCTTCGCCGCATCCTGAGGCTGAACTGGCAGGACCGCATTTCCGACACCGATGTGCTGGAACGGACGGGAATCCTCAGCATCTGCACCATGCTGAGACAAATGCAGCTGCGTTGGAGCGGCCACCTAGTGCGCATGGATGACGAGCGACTACACAAACGACTCTTCTACGGAGACGTCGCGACGGGTTATCGCCGCCAAGGTGGTCAAATTCGCCGATACAAGGACACCCTGAAGTCCTTCCTGAAACGCCTGCAAATCAACCCGACCGACTGGGAAGAGCTCGCCCGCGATCGTCCGACATTGTGGTGAACAGTGAAGACGGGTTCTGCTATCCACGAAGCCAACCGCATCGCTGCCGCCAAAGCGAGACGCGAATCCCGCAAATCCCAACTGCGCCCAGTACGCAACGCCGACGCACAACCGCTGCCAACGTGTCCTCGATGTCAACGGACATTCGGGGCGTCAATTCTTTGATATAGAATTTGGTCCAAAAGGGCTCTGATGATGCCAGCCGCTTGAATAATACCGGAGCATAGCACTAAAAATAATCAAATTTATAAAAGATAGCATCATTGATAAACATAGAACAGATAGTTATATTCTTTCTTTCCTCCCTTTCTCGTTTTCATCAGCTATGTCACCTGACATTAAATATCCCTTATGAAGCTAATAAAAATATACCCTTCGATAAAACCCTGCATATAAGTCGTGCGTATGTCTATATTAAGGCCATATTAAACATATATACAACTATATTAGGTCATAGTAAACAGTCGACCAGTAATCCTGTAATTTCACATTAACAAGAAAAATATGATACATGATTCAATAGTATTTTGACAGTTTTGATTGTGAATTACCATTGAATGCTTCTTACTCCTGATATATATTCATCTTTTCCAGCTCATAGTCCAGACGACGATGGTAAGCCTCCTGAAAAACAGGTAGGAACTGTGCGACCGCCCCCTCACGGCTGGCCAGATAGACTGACAACCAGCAACTAAAGCACACCGAAATTTACCCAACTGGAAAATTATTTCAAGGTCAGGCCGATATCAAAATTCTTCAATTGCCATGAAGGACATATTATTCATGCCCCCAAAAACTACCAAACTGCAAACTTCAATTTTTATATTGTACATATCGTTATTTTTTAAAACATTTGTTATTATTTTCCCTTAGAACTGAGGTTTTTTTTAACTTAAAACAAACTCTCAATTCGTGCTCTTTTGGCTAAACAGACACCCAAAACAAATGAAGTCAAAGTGCAGTTGAAATTGGTGAGTTTGTTTTGGGTTATTTTCCTGAGTTCAAAGGGGACTGACAGTGCCCAAGGGGCGCTACAATAAACCAACAACCGTCCCTCCACCCGCCTCTTCCTCGTCCTCTCTGCCGCCAACTACCTCTGGCAATTCTTCCGAACCAGCACTCCCATCATCCTCCTCCTCCTCCTCCTCCACCATCACCACCACTGCCCCAGCGACGGCCGCTCAGTCGACCATCTCGCACACCACCGACCCTGACACAACCTCCGACACCACCCCCACTACCTCGGACTCCAGCGATGAGGATCAGGACTATACCTGCCCTCACTGCGACTGCACCTTCACCTCACACATTGGCCTGGTCGGTCACTTGCGAATCCATCGCACAGAGACTGGCGAGCCAGTGCCTGGAGCACCAACCTACACCCACTGCACTCGCCTCCACTGCCCACACTGCCCACGCATACTCAGTCAGCGCATGGGCCTATTCGGCCACATGCGCACTCACGAGAGCGGAATTGACTACAATTCCGACACACCAACCACATCCAAAACGCTCACCATGCCCAGTACCACCCTCGCTCCGTCGTCCTGTGCGCCCATCATCACCTCCACCACCGCCGCCTCCTCTGCAGCTGACACCGACACCGTCGACCTCTCATGCTCACACTGTCCACGCAAGTTCAACTCACGCATCGGCCTGGTCGGTCACTTGCGAATCCATCGCACAGAGACTGGAGAACCAGTGCCTGGAGCACCAACTTATACCCACCAAGCTCGCATCAACTGCCCACACTGTCCTCGCACTTTCAGGCATCGCATGGGCCTATTCGGTCACATGCGCATCCCCGACGACCTGCGGTAGACAACCGCCGGTTACACCACACATTCACACACTCCCTACCCTCCTCCACCTCACTACCACACATCAACTCTCACCACCGCATGCACCCAACTGCCACCTTCCACGCAAGTGGGAAGTGTGCATCTCGACTCAGTCCCCAATTGACTTCGCCTACACTGGTGACTTGAGTCTGAGACTATCCCGACACGTCAAGCGTCGTGGATAGGAAGGTTGCTGATTGACGCCCGTTCTCGGTTCACGCAGTTCGTCGCGTTGTGTGTGTGTGTGTGTTGTGTGGAGTGGCGGACTGGTGGGCTGAGGACGGGCTGAAGCAGCACCTTCCACGGCACCCTCACGCAAGTGAGAGACACGCCGTGCAATCCCCGTTGTGTGAAATCCTGGTGTTTGTGTGTATGGGGGGCCAGGTCGTGCTGTGGCGCGCGCAGTCATGGTCAGTCCACCGTGCCAGCCACCGCGCCCATCCCCCACTCCAGTCTGCTGACCGGCTCGGACAGCGACTGCGGTGTGGGAGTGGGAAGGGAGAGTGAGGTCGACGACTCAGCACACTTTCCTCACTATCAACAATCTGACGCGCTTGAAGCTATCACGGTGCGCTAAAAGCCGTGACTTGGAAGGTTGCCAACTGACGGGGTAACTTGGACCTCATCCTTGACTGGTGGTGGTCTGAGAGTCAGGCTGCAGTGGCTCCATTTTAATGTGGCCTTTATGGCACTCCCACCACAGTGTGGAATCCGAGCCAGGCGTTGGCGGCACGCCCAGGTGCGGCTTCGGTCGTGCCAGCCTCCAAATCTCTGTTGTGTTGGTCAAAATCCTGGTTATTTGTTGTGTGGACCAGGGGGTGTGGTGGAACGCCAAGGTGAGGATCCGTCCGAACCATCCACCTGCGGCCTCCCTCGTCTGCGGTCTTCTTGACTCTGTCTTGACACCGGACCCATGCGGGAGAGGAGGAGGAGGAGGAGGAGGAGGAGGAGGAGGAGGGGAGAGTGTAGGTAGATGCAGCGCAAGTCTACTGGCACTATAAACCCCTGCGCAAGTCACCGTCCCTGCTCCCACCGTTGCATCTGCAGTTGTGGGGCACACGGTGGACATCGTCGAAACCGACGGTCGAACTGTCGTGTGTGTGTGTGTGTGTGTTTGTGTTTGTGCGGGGTGCAGGGATGTCAGCGCTGGGTTCACGTGATGGTCGTAGTGGTCGCTCAATTGCTTGCAGGTGAGACTTAGCCTAGCGTCCACTTGCTGGCACTCAACTCTCACATGTGGCTCCACGTAGCTGGGCTCTGCTCAGCGGCCACACCCGGGGCAACCGCCTCGACCGGCGGGCTAAACCAGGTGAGGGCGGTTACCCCCTGTGCGCGTTGTGCCACGTGCACAGGGTGCTGCGGACTCCGTTGGACGGTTGGTCGCATGGAACACCGTGTCTGCGCCGTCGTGAAGAGGTTTCGTCTACGCTGTTGGTCAGCTGGTTGGTGGAACATCGCATCGGCATAGTAGAGACGAGGCTCCGCCTGATACTCCGTTGACTCAGCCGGTGGGATGGATCTTCGAATCGGCATCGCTGGCTCGCGCCCATCTGGTGCACCGTAGGAGACCGCTGGCTTACGGCAATGTCGTAAGCCATTAGCAAATTCGAGTCGTTCTTCCACTGCCAAACAAATTCGTGGCCCACAATGAAGTTCGGCCGCGCCGGCACATCAAGCAGCCCTATTCAGGGACCGAGCACTGCTTTTCTTCGGAGGGGGCCCGGAAAAGCTGGCCTAAAAATTGCTCGGGAACCACGTCGTCTGCAGGCGCACCGTGTGTTTGTGCAGTAGTCAGCGCTTTTGGGAGCGCCAGCAGTGGCGGTGGATTACCTTGAGGCAGGTAAAGGTGATTCTCACTGTTCTGGCTATCAGCTACACACTTTCATCTATTGGGCTAGCCTTCGAATCATTGATACAAATGTCTTCAGTTTGCTCCAGTCCCAATAAAACTGCGCTGATATTGAGGACTTTTAAAATAAATACCAAGTTTTCTGCCAGACATTTGTTTCACAACGTCGGCCTTATCCTATAGAGCGTAGGGTCTTCGCAAATTGCCAAAAGAAATATTTCCTTGTCCTTATTCTCCTGCAGCGCCCGCTCAGTATATTGTCGCACAAACCTTAATACGATACACTTGCCATGGAAGAAAACGGATAGGCTGAGAGGAAGGCTACGCGATCGCTGAAGCGAAAGTTTTGCTTCGCCTGGCTTTTTTAGCGAAATCTCAACACTCGTGTGGGTTCGTGGGTCATTTGACTCACCAAAACTGACGCTCTTCTTCCAGCGGCCGCGTCTCCTGCTTCCACACTGCGTCCTCGAACTCACCTGTTGACCTTCGATGCAATTTTGACTTGGCGTCCCCAACACTATGAACAATTGTGCAATAATTTACCGTACTAACAACACAGGTATTAGCTAAAAGCCCAGACACGCGTGTTTCGCCGATCTTGTGCCGCTGCCTGACGCAGCTGCGAGGGGTTCGGCTCGTCAGTGGGTCCCCCAGCTTTCCCCGTGTGTTTTCTGGTATATGAACTCCAGTTTCAACTTGCCTTGCTTAATTTCCGAGGAAATTAATGCGCGAACTTGGAGTAACTCTTTCGAAACAGGCCTTTTCAGGCACGGTCCGAAATTTGATATGAACAATTATTATTATAATTATTATTATTATTATTATTATCGGCAGAACTGCACGCAGCGCACAGCCACTTCTCGGCGTATACAGGGCCTATTCTGATTTTTCTGAAAGCCCAGACTGAAAATAGGGAGTGAGGGGAGAGCTGTCAGATGTAGGGCCCTCTAAAGACGGCAAATAAGCCAGAACTAGTCATCACGGTTTCGTCTGTCTTTATAAGTAAGGCCTCTCGACTACCAAACTTCGAATTTTAATTTTTGGGGAATTTCCTTGTTTATGGACCGCACTGCGTTTACCCCACGTAAAAAACTGCACTTTATGCCAACACCCGACTGTAGTACCTTCTGACAAAGGTCATTCCCACACGAGCTGAAGACGTGGTTGTATTGTTACCTTTGGCCTTTGGGTAAGGATCGGGTGAAGGCTCTCAAGCAACTGTAGCATACAAAGAATACCTACTATTTAAGTGGGTTTTAGTCCGACACGATTATTTCGGTTTGGTGTTTCGCCGTGCAAAGATGGGTCGTCTGTTGTAGACGGTTTGGTGCATTATCTCCAATAACCTCAGGTTGAGAGGCGTACGTTGCAGACACTCGGTGTTTATTTTTTTAATTGTCAGGCCTAATTCCGGTTGCTGTATACCATGCCTTAAAACTTTTCCCTCTCTAAAACAAATTTACCAATTATCTATACTTATTTAGCCATTCCTCTATGCAAACATAGACCCCGCTCGTAAATCCCCCATTTCCACATTTCCCGTAAGACAGGCACCTTTGGATGGTCGTGTATCTTTGGGGACTCTTATCCGATCGTTGCCGGTCTTTGTTAGCTATTTACTCCGAATAAGACTGAAATTTCCATTTTTAGATTCACTACTTCGCGCATACCTTTTGCCTAAACGATTTTCCCTAGTCTGGAACAAGAAATGTGACAATCCTTGACTGTTCAATAAAGTGTGAAGACCTATATTTACACTTCTAAGGAGAATTACCCCAAACTATCCGAAAAGCACCGTCTATTGGGAAATATATTATTTAACAGCATTTAGTCCCCAATTTTTCGTATTTTCCGGGACTCATAGGGGAGTCGGTCGTGTTTTTTCGTTTTGCGCCTACAGCTCGTGACTTCCCCTCTATGATTCTTGAAGGGTTTGTCTCGCTCTGGGGAGAGTGGTTTACATATCCTACCATTTATACTTACATTCAAGTACATCCTTGGCAGTACTGTGCAGGTACTGTCCTTGGTCCTGTGAAGACCTTTCATGGTGACCTCAAGTTGGTTGTTTCTACAAGGCGAATAGGTGACTAACTGACTCGATGTCCAACGGGCAACCTCCGTTGTTTCTCGGACTGGGTTTTTTTTGGTTGACTCAATTATTGGCAAACGTGCTGCCGGGCGTACACTAGTTACCACTTTCGGCAACGGAAGCGCCCTGCTGGTGCCACTTGGAACATCTAGGGCAATGGCACTTTGCCAGAGTCGTATATAACCGCTGCTATCTCTGTAGATAGCAGCTAACACTTGGGCTGTATGAGCGAGCGCGGATTGTTGCCTCAGGTTGGTGTCTGAGGTCTATGCTGATTGATGACAACATTCCAAGGCATTTCTGATGTAGTACAGTACAATGGCTCCTTTTTAAGGGGGTCTGTGTGGCACTCTCACGTATGCATCATACGCGGATGGCCTGTTTTACCTCCGTCAGCCACCGTACCCTATCTAGCCAACGAATGGTTGACCAAGTCGGACAGTTAACCGGTGCATGAAAGAGGGAAGTCGACACCGAGGAACCCATCCCAACAGCAAATCAGCTAATTCTTCACTGTAATAAATCTGACGTGTCAATTGTCGCGGCGTAGAAGGCTGCCAGCCGACAGGTTTTCTCGCTCCTTCTTAGGTCTGAGAGCCAAGTCCAATGGGTTCTTCCCTGTGTAGCTTTTTATGGCCCTCTCACGCGTCTGAGATCTGAACCGCCGCTGCGGAAGCCTGCCACATGTTATGCAGCCCAGGTTGTGCGGCAGGCTGTTTAGCGTCATCGGCCACTGCGTCCGTGTCCACCTCCGGCCGTCCTGTCATTGGCACAAAGTCACTGCATGCTAGAGCCTGCAGCAACCGTACAGTGGGTGAGCTAACTCATGAAATGTCAACCGAAATTCCGAAATGCGTACTCATTTCGAAAAGATTAATAAAGTAGAGTTGTAAAACTAGTCAGCATGCGGCATAATTCCATACTAATTCAGTCACCTCAGGATGCCGGTTTTTGAACGAACTTCCTTCCGGTTGCATACAAAAACTATACTCTGTAAAAAATGACTACTTTAAGAGCATGCATTTTTCTCTTTGATTTTCAATGCCTCTAAAAGTCCAATTACAGTTCCTGGAAAACATGAATAAAAATATTAATTCTTCCGTTCATTCGGTAGAAAATTACGTCTTCTTCCAATCTTATACTCGAAGGAAGGGCATTATTCGGTTTTCAAAAACTTTTCCAATTCCCGAATAATTTTGAACCCGACCCGCCGTTTGACTTGCATTCGGGGTTTCAAAACTACAAGCCGTATATTTTCCGTGGACGGAAAACCATACATTTCTCTACGGCATTAAGAGGAGACCATATGGGTTTCATAAAATTTGGCAGTGGATTTAAGCCATATTGTACACTCTACAAGTCACATTAGCAAATACAGACACACGATGTTCAATGAAAAGGCACTTCACGGTATTAAAAAATCTCATAATTAGAAACTTTTTGAAAACCGAAGTATACACTTTTTCAGAGTATAAAATTGGAAGAAGACGTCACTTTCTACCGAATGAGTAAAAGAATGCATATTTTTATGCCCGCCTTCCATGAAATATAATTAAATTTTTAAGAGCATACAAAATCGATAAGAAAAGTGCATTCAGCTTAAGTAGTCATTTTTACAGAGTATAGTTTTTTGCATGCTGCCAGAAAGAATTTCTTTCGGAAGCCGGCATCCTGAGGTAACCGAATTATTATAGAAGTACACTGCAAGATGTTTATTTTTGCAACCCTGCGTAAGTAATCTTGTTGAAACGAAAACGCATTTCGAAATTTCGGTTGACATTTCATGAGTTAGCCCACCTACTGTACATCTGACGCTTTTTGTGACACTGCACTTCCGTCCAGTGCATTCTCGTGCGTACGCACCGGTGACAGTTCGTTCGCCTGACAGTGCGAGCCCCTATAAGGATGTTGTAGTCACGTCTGGATGACCACTGACATCGCGAAGCTCCTTACGGTGCCTGGGCAGTCACGGTCCTGCGGGCGGGCTGGCAAACTCTAAGGCTGGCATGGATGCGCCTCCCTAATAGCAAGCGGGCTCGCCGCGAGCTGGCGTACTCGATGGGGGTAATGAGTCTTCATCGAGCTCGTGATTTGATTGGTTGTTGGCCCAAAATGGAGACCAACAGCCTTAAGGCTTTGGTTAATTCAAACAATCACCACATTTGATGTATTTTTTACGAATATAATCTTTTTTATCTTGACATGTGTTCCTTTGATTACTTTAGTGGGCCACACTGGGGGAAATATAAAGCGGTGGGACAGTAGGGGGGTCCCTGGTTGAGTAAGCGCTGGAATTCGCTTTTTGGAGCTCGGACCGTGCTTGGAACGAGCTCGCAAGCCGTTTTTCGGAGCTCGTTTCGGGTTCGTTTTAACGAGCTCTGAGCGAACTCGAATCAATGACCACATCAGAACTCCAGTGGAGATTGCGTACCTCGTGAAACGAGTTCTATGCGAGCTCGCTTAGAGTTCATTTTGCTATTAGGACTGTTCCTGTGTTCATGGGGTCCGACTACCATTCTGTTTCAGAGGCCTAAAGTAGTGGGAGAATCGTGAGTAAAGTTGTCAGGACACGGTTCTTAGGTTTAGTCTCAAAAC